AAATTTCTGTGATCATAAGTTGGAAGATGATGTTCATAGGCAATTTCGTATTTGTATTTGACACATTGTCACATTGGAGACTTTTTCTAAACATCTAAATTTGTGAGATTTTGGGAAATTCTTAGGTGGAGTTATAATTATGGGACGCAGTGTATTTGCATTATGGCGACCTTCTATTAACCCTATTCATAAATCAAGGAAAACGAATTTTACTCCCACAGGAGTTGTGCTTGTGGACCGGCGTCGATGGACCGGGTACTGGACCGGCTATACTACCCGTGCCGAAAAACCGCACTTCTTCGATTTGGCTAGAAATTCTCTTCAAGCGTAGTTTCACCGTTTGAAGCCGCTGGTCACTATCAGGAAGCGCTAGTGTGCCGAAATATCAAACTCAGAATTTTCAAAGTGACAAGTCTCAGAAATCAAAATACTGTTGAGCTATAGTAAGTCTGCGACAACCCACCTCCTATTAGCGTGTCACGAAAAAAGCAAAGAAAACTGCGCAAGCAAGTTTGATCCCTTAAATCGGTTCTGCAAACTCGCCTCTTCAATCGTGACACCATCACACCATTTCGACAAAACGAAACCTCCAGTCTTGTTCTTAGCGCGTTCAGCAGATAGGGAAGACAAGTTTCAAATTAGCGTCTGGAGGCGCATCATTTGATATACATTCTATTTCAAACGGTCACTTCAGTCTACCATTCTTTCTTTTTGAGTTTCACTTATCCATAAACATGATCCAAATTCACGTATCCATAAACAGTGGGAATCACATTAAGTTTACATTTTAAAACCTGCACGATTTTTCCTGTTAGAATACTTTCAGATGAGACCGTGGACCGCCATGGAATTCCTAGAGATTCAGCTCCCAGAACAGAAAGACGTAAGTTTCATTGAAATAATTTTACACATGTTAAAAGGCAATTGTATTGGGTTGTCTCATAATTCCTGTCGCATTTCTATTCAATTTCAAATTCCTTCCGTCTAAGACCGTTTCATTGCGAAATACGTTAGTATGTTGAAGTATGCTTCAAGAGCCTTAACAGCATGGTTTCGGAAGCGCAAGCCCTTAACGGGTTAATCAACTAGGAATAAAAATAGGTCAGTGACTGCAATGAATGATTATGCTTTACGATCCTCAAATGAACTCTGTAGCAAGGAGGACAACAGAGAAGATCAGCGCTGTGTTTGACTCCAGTCTCTGCTACTGATAGGGTACTGAGCTAGTGGTCCAATCGCAACGGCAAAGACGAAACGAGCTATGAACTTCAACCTCATACTGGGCCTGCGGTCATTTTTGATGAGCGCCCCTTGCACCCTAAATTGGGAGTGCCTCCGCACGTTGCTACCAGGGTATTGTAGCAGATACCTGAGCGCAGCCGATGCACCAGCACACGCCATCAGTATGGCAAGGACTGCTGCAGAATGAAGTTTTGATGGAAACCTTATGGTCCGGCCGACCATGAGCGGGAAGCACGCCTGACCATCTGGGGAAAATCCATTCTGGACGGCAAAAGCAGAGCCTTCCCTAATCGGTCACCAGTGGAAATGAGTCATGAGTCCACTGCGACAACAACATGCGGCACGTCTGATGGCTGCCTCGCAGCCAGGAAGCACCAGCTCAACCAAAGCCCGAACTCCGTTTTCTGAGAATATCGCTCTCGTTTTGTTGGATTCGCTAGGTGGCCTGGTTTGGGAACCACTTCAATGTATGAAGACAAGCATTGCTAAAGTCAGCGCGGAATAGCCCTCTAGGCTGGCTTCGGGGTTGCGAGGGAATCGTCAGAAACGTCTCAGATTCTCCTTTCTCCGAATGTACGCCAGACCTCACATTGCAATGCCAACTCACCACGTTCTGAGGGAGATAGCCAGGGCCACGATACCTCATCCACCATATAGCATTGGCATCGCTCTATCGGACTATCGCCTCCCCTGCGCCCTGAATAAGCATCTGCCAGAGAAGAAAGTTAAAGATTGCGACCACCCCAAAAACGACTTCTCCAAATTCTTCAACCCCCAGCTTCCTTCATTCTGGGCTGGAAGCTTCCAAACGCCACTAGCAAATGCACGCATATCAGTGACCATGATGGTGGTTATGCTATTGATCAGTTGTTTCCTAGAAGAGATAAAACTTGAATAAACAAAAGTGTCGAAATTGCGACAGGAATTATGAGACAACCCAATAGAACCTGTCACGGTAGGTTGGATGGTGACCAGCTCGTGCGCAACAGCTCAAACTTGGGTAATTAAACGTTTATGCGTTAATAACAAATAACGAAGAACAACGAATGCGATATAACATCAAGAAACAACTTCTCAAGTATTTAGGTGAATAATACAACGAGTGAGATAATCAAAAATGGAAGTGAATCAACGAAATGATTCTCAATGAGTGTATGAGCCAACAAATATAACTTCGAAGAGATTCATGACAGCAAATAATCAATATACAACGTATCAATTTTATAATAGCGAACAATTGGTGAATACTAGTGTATAGGAAATACAACAGTACTAGAGAATACAAACAATGATTGCGCGTGGATGAGTGAACGATAACGACTGCGTTAGAGAGTACAATAATGGATGCGCGTAGATGAATAACGAATGCGTTAGAGAAAGAAATAAATGAATGGATGAATAAACGATAACGAATGGATGAGAGAATACAACAAATAAAAGCGCGTAGATGAATGAATTAATGAATGCTCTATCCTTGTAATGCACGATCCGCGAGCGTCGATGAGATGAATGAACACTTCAAAGGCAAGTCACTGGCTTATGTACTAAATTTCCCTTTCGATCAGGGGAGATCAATGATCACCGTCGTGATACTCCTCCCTTGGGGATGGTCCAGATCGGGCTTTATAGTAATAGTCCTTGTTTGTCTCCAGTTCTTGCTCGATTTCCTCAATCTCTCTGTAATATTCGTAGATGCGCTCAGGGAGTGTGCATATGGCCTTGTTGTGATCCGTGGAAGAACAATACATGCACTCCCTTCTGGTTCTCCAACAGTGAACGGTTTCATGTCTAATATCCAAACAATGCTCACAACGGATGCGCTTCAGTCTACCTTTTACGGTGGGTACTTCCGGACAACTGTCGCTATAATGCAATCCTTTAGCGAAGCAAAATGAGCATCGAAGAAAACGGTCCTTCTCTTGCATAACGTCGTGCATATTAATCTTTCTTTCTGGAACTCTGCGCTCCATCTCGACTCGGTTTCTCAGAATGTTCAAGCGTGCTCAAGCTCGAGTCTCTCTTCTTCCGCCGATGGTCTTTCTGGCACGTTATTGTTGCTGTCGACGTCTCCCCTCGTCAGAATTCTGGAAAACAACATCATCTTCCAGATCCAAGAGATCTTCCTCGGTGCTCCGTCTCGATGGTGTGCCCGCAGGTGAATGTGATTGCTTTTCCGAGACAAGACGACTATTATTTATGGGCTCTTTAGGTTCTTTCAGCATGCATTTGATTTCTTCTTGCAGTTGACTGCAATGCTCCCGTGTCTCGTCGAGTTTGTGCTCAAGATCGGTCAACTTGCGACTAAATTGTTCTTGCTGCTGACTGAAATGCTCGAATTTCTCATCAAGTTTGTGCTCGAGATTGGCTAGAATGCGCTTGATTTCTTCGGACAAAGATTCATGAGTCTCAGTATTCAGCTGTAGTTCGGCTTCGCGGATTTCCGTCTGGATCTTCTGACAAAAATCCTCTAAAAACTCGAGTTCTTTGCGAACAAACTCTGCCGTAAAGGTAGGGTCAAAAGACACTCCTTTGACTTCCTCTTCGAAAAACTTGTCCCTAGAGCTTGCTAATGAGTCATCCGCCTGAACAAGAAGTCTGTAGAGGTCGTAACCCATTGATAATGCTTCCGTTCCGCACCGAATTTTGTCCGTTATGTGACATGCCTGCAGATGCACCTTTTCCAAGTGGCATTTCTAAAGAGTGGCTTCGTTTTTGGCAGAATTCAGGCTTACGACCGCGGATTTCAGTGAAAAAGTCAAGGAGATTA